ACCTTGGCAACTTCCAGTTTTTATCAGGCGATACCTGTTTGTCACTCACATCTGTACACCTGCCATGTAGTATAGCCACACCCCTGTACACACATTGGCTGCTCAGGTTTCTTAACGTGAATATAGTATATACTTTATTATGTACAATAAGCTAAATTGACATCTCAATAATAAAATTTAACATGATAGGGGCATGGTTTAGTATAGTTGTTTTTTCATATTTGATATTTGTTTGTGGAACGTTGATTAGATGTCTAGGTCATGTACAGTTTAGGCACCACCTTTGAATACCCAGTAAAGTCTTGCTATGGAGTTGGGTGATGAGTTATCTAATTTTCAAAGTTTATGTTATAACTTTTAATAATAATAATAGATAATTGTAAAAGTGGTTTTTCATTATTGTTTATCTAATTTTTTAGAATTCTGCAGTTAAGTGTCAGCCGGAATCAAAATGTCCAGAATTATTAGCCAATTATTGTGATATGTTATTAAGAAAAACCCCTTTAAGTAAGAGATTAACTGCTGATGAGATTGAAAGTAAATTGAAAGATGTGGTATGTATGAAATTTAAACTACTCTTGGTTTAATTTGCTAGTAATATTTTTATTGGTTTTAGCTACTTGTGTTGAAATATGTTCAAAATAAAGATGTTTTTATGAGGTTTCACAAGGCACATTTAACTCGTAGATTAATATTAGACACTTCAGCTGATTCTGAAAAAGAAGAAAACATGGTTGAATGGTACAATTTATTAAATAATACTTTGGAGATTTATAGTTAATACATGTATGTTTTTATAGGCTAAGGGAAGTTGGTATGCCCGCAGATTATGTAAATAAACTAGCTAGAATGTTCCAAGATATAAAAGTTAGTGAAGACTTAAATCAACAGTTTAAAGAAACCTACAGAAATCTTAAAGGAAGCATTGCAGGTAATTAATGTGAATTGGGTAAAAGCTGATATTTTAAGAACACTCAAAATGTAGCATCTATAGGGATAATGTTCTCATATCTCAAGCTTAAATTACAAAATTATTCAGTTGGCTACATAGTATGCAAAATATGGTTTATGTTCTTATTCACAGATTTGCTTAGATTCGGGGCCGGATTGGTTAGGCGAGCTACTGAGAAAGTCTCGGTGGGCCGCTTAAAGTTTGGGCTGGTCGTGTGAGTGTGAGTGAAAATAAATTCATGTTTAAAATACGATAGGCCACCTATAAACTCGTAATAATTGTAGACGTAATTTTGGGTCTCTGAATATATGTAAATGGGCCGCTTAGAAGTGAAAATCTCGATGGGTCGATACATACCAATCCGACCCTGCTCAGATTCTATACCCCAACTTAATTCATATAAGGTCTGTACCTTACAATCCAGTATTGTCAACAAACAAGTATGAAAGTGTACAGTGGGGCTAGTATAACAAACCCTTAACCTCTACCAAGACTGAAAAAAAGTCAGATTAAATTTTTTTCCCAAAGTTAAAATAAATATATGTGAATAATTAAGATTTAATATAAAATAATTTGAAAATAATAACATTGATAGATAATTTGTTAATAAGCATTTTTTAAATACATTGGGCCAATATTAATAAAAAAAATTTTTTATTGATAATTGAATATAGGCCACTCTAAAGCATACATTTTGTAAACATTCACCCGGTGTTGCGAATTTACTTCTTTTTGGTACTAGATTCTCTTCACCTAATTTTTGCAATGCTATATTACATGTGAGGTTATAACAAACGTCCAGTCTCCGGACCATTTTTTCACCTCTCCATGGACCCATGTGTACACCATCGAAAATGCTTATTGTTGTCTTTCAACATCAATAGATATTTAAATATTTTATTCTAAATTAATAAATGTAACTACAAAAATTATAACTTCCTATAATAGTATAATATGTAAAACGCTGTTTGGTTCTAATATTGACAGTTGGTTTTAGCAATAAGATTTTTATTTATAAAAGAATATGACTTTACTGGTATTATTTTTAGTTTATTTATTCTTTATAAAAAGGTTACAATGTTTTCATTATGTTTTATAACTTTTACTTGTAAAAACGGTATAAAATATGTGATTTGTTGGGACAGACTTGAATAATGACTAAAATAAAATTGGTAATTTGTAGATTCTATCAATATTAAGATATTGAATGCTGGAGCTTGGTCACGAGGTAGTGAACGTGTTACAGTGTCATTACCAATGGAGTTGGAAGACTATATACCAGAAGTAGAAGACTTTTATCGAAAAAAACATAGTGGTCGAAAATTACAGTGGTATCATCACATGTCTAATGGCACAGTAAGAGCATTTTGTTTGCATAAAATATAAATACATTTAATGTATTATAATGTACATATTGTTCACTTTCAAACAAAAAAATTTTATGCAGATAACATTTTTAAATGAAATTGGCCGGTTTGACATTGATGTTACAACATTCCAAATGGCTGTATTATTTGCGTGGAATCAAAGACCAAAAGATAAAATATCTTATGAAAATCTTAGATTGGCTACTGAGTTGCCTGATCCTGAATTACGGCGAACATTATGGGTTAGTATATAAATGCTTAAGTGAAAACTCTCGAACTTGTAAACTGAGTCTTATATGAAACACTTATTTATTTTTTAACTAAACCATACTATTATATAGTATATTAATAGGAAAGTCATGAAATATTTAATAACAAAAGTTTTTGGTCTGTTGTGTGAATTGGTTTTTTTAATTGTCTTCTTGTTTACCAGTAATTTCCTTAACTAGATTTTACTTATCTTAGCCATTAGTAGCTTGCATTTTTTACCATTTTTATTCCACAATAATTATTCATGGAAGAAATTTAAGTGTATGATACTTTGATTGATGCATATTAATACCTATATGTTCAAAATCAAGCATTAAAACATTTACATGTGTGATATACCATCATACGTATTAACTCATATCGGATTTAACCTTGACTCAAGTCGATATGTAGGTTTTACGTATTAAGATGTATTAAAGATTTTTTTTTCAATCTTGGATATATTGAATATTGTGGAATAATAATTATACAGCCCGTATTTTTATTATATTTTATTAATTTCTAAGTATACATTTTTTCTCTTTATAATGTGTGTTTATGCAATTTTTTGAGGCATAAATAAGGATATATTTCAAGCTTTTTATAGAATTAAGTCCCTTAGGTCCATAGTTCTTATTAATAAATTTAAATAAATCTCTTTTGGAAAATATGCTTTTTCATCAAGAAATGTAAGCATTAGTTGTGGATCATTTTTATTTTGGGAGAGATGGGGGCAAAAGTACCAAAATTGGTTAAAATTGTAAAACATTTGTTTTACCCTTTTGTAAAACAAAGGGTAAATACGTTTTTTTTGGGGGGAGGGGATTAAACTTTCTATGCTCCGACAACCATGTGGCTGTAAAATACAGATTGAAACCTTTATTATTTTTTTAATTTTGATTATACAAATGAGTGTTTCAAAGTTTAGGTATTATGAAAGTTTTTTATAAGGTTTAATTTTTGGTTTCTGTTAATTTGTTAGTGAATGAAAAGAAAATTTATAATTGGTTTCAACTTTCAAGTACTGATATTAATATTATGTAATTTTTGTTCTTTCTAGTCTCTAGTAAATTTCCCAAAATTAAAAAAACAAGTAGTGTTAGTAGTGCCCGAAGTACCATCTCCAAAAGAGTTCAACGAGAACACAATATTTTGGATTAATGAACAGTTCTCTATAGTGTAAGAGTGACATGAAATATAATATATTTTATTATTTGACTAAATAATACATTTTTGTAATAAAAAAAAATATTCTAGTAAAAATGGCAAACTTCAAAAAAGAGGTAAAATAAATTTAATTGGGAGACTACAACTATCTACTGAACGCAGTAAAGAAGAAGATAATGAATGTATCGTTCAATTACGAATATTAAGAGTCCAAGTGAGTGTTTACTTTCATTTCTGTCACATTGCGCCTTGTATTGAATAAAACTGCATTATATATAATTTTTTTTCTTTAGGAAGCGATTATAAAAATATTAAAAATGCGAAAACAAATATCAAATTGGAATCTCCAGACAGAATTAGTTGATATTTTAAAAAATATGTTTTTACCCAGTAAAAAAATGATCAAAGAACAAGTTGAATGGTTAATTGAACATAAGTATATGAAAAGAGATGAAGACGATATTAATTTGTTTGTTTACATTGCATAATTGCCAACCTAATAGTACCATGATATCTGTGATACTACATAAAGCTTTTGTGTAACATTACATACTAGTTAATGTTTGTTTTCAGTTTATTTATTTATTTTCTTTACCAAAGATGTTGGATGTAAATATGTATAATTTTATGTACAAGACGTGTTAGAGTATCACTTTGTGTATTGTATATACTAAATAATTGATTATAATAAATTTAAAATTATCAAGTTATTTAATTATTAATTAATGTCTTCGTTATTTTTTTGCAAAAGGAAAAAACAACATTAACATAATTGGGCATTTTTGATTTTTATTTGGTTAGTCTTTAGAGTTCATGTAATAAATATTATTTTGTACAGCTTTTATCTCATTGTGGCAATAATATTGCAAGCCAAACTCCGTATTTAAAAGTAATAAATTATGAGAATAAATGAGAAACACATAATATACTTACATTTTTACACATTTTTTTATTATTATTCATATTTTACACACTATGAATGTATTAAAAACTTAAAATGTATGTTATTAAGTAATATTATTGACAGTCTTTAAGGAAATAAATACTAGAATGATTAGAGATTTTGTCAAACATACAACCATATTGAGAAAAAAATGTTAAATAATGTGTCCTAATAAAATAATAACACTACAGAAAATATTTAAAATTTAAAATGTATAGATTAATAATAATGATAAGTATTCAAATATCAAATAAAATACACAAAATATCATTAAAAATACATAGATATCTAATAAGAAAATAACACATTTAAAAACACAATTTTATTTTTCTGGTAGCCTTGTATGAGGAATTGTAGAAACCGATGTTTTAATATTTTCATGTCCTTCAGCCACATGTAAAACAATGCCGGGTAAAGTATCGGTTGCAGCATGGATTTCATGGGGTTGACCTGAAACCCACAAACATTTAGATATTAACTATATAATTTTTTATTATATATTAAAAATGTAAGGTCATTTTTTAATATACAGGGTGATTGATTTAACGTAAAACACTCATTATCTCAAAAAGTATTAATGTTTTTGAAAATATTGCTTTAAATAGTTTCAAGTTGTTAAAAAAACAACGTTTTCATTAAAAATTATATTTTTAAATATTTTTTATCCTTATAGTTTTTTAAGTTTTTTACTTTTTTGAATGACAGCATAGAGTTTTAATTTCATATTCCAAAGCAGAATATTTTTCTAAGTATTTTGATACATAAAAATCGAACTTAGGACGAGTAGTTTATGAGTTATAAGTATTTCAAGTTTAGATGGGCGGTGTAGTGGATAAACCTTTTGCGGGGTAACCCCATACCACTCCACTCCGCTCATCTAAACTTAAAATACTTATAACTCATAAACTACTCGTCCTAAGTTCGATTTTTATGTATCAAAATACTTAGAAAAATATTCTGCTTTGGAATACGAAATTAAAACTCTATGCTGTCATTCAAAAAGTAAAAAACTTAAAAAATTATAAGGATAAAAAATATTTAAAAATATAATTTTTTAATGAAAACGTTGTTTTTTTAACAACTTGAAACTATGTAAAAAAATATTTTCAAAAACATTAATAATTTTTGAGATAATGAGTGTTTTACGCTTAATGAATCACCTTGTATATATTTTTAGCGAGTTTCAGAAATTATATGGTGTACATAATATTGGTTACTAAATATAAATTGTAAACTTCTATTTAATCATACATGTATTTACATATTTATAAGTATACATGAAGCAAAATTATATTATCTAATTACCGGGTGTGAGGCTCGCTATAGCAGCTAGTAAATCATAATTTATGAGAGGCTCGCCTTCAGCTCTAGGTACCCAACCTTCTGGTGGTGATGGCGGAGGTGATATTAAAAACTGTTTTACTGGAGCCGGTAATTGTAAGTGTTGGTCTGCCGCATCAATTGGTGTAACAGGCTTCAATAGATCACAATGTTGTTTTAATGTTTTATTTATAATATAATTTAAGTAAAATTTACCTGTGCGAAGTAACAATTGATTATTGTGTCATAAAACCTTATTTGATGCATCTGGATTCTGGCAGTGGCAGCAGATACTGAAGTGCCATAGTTAACCCTTAAGCGCTTGAAGCTACGGAAATATTGTACAGAAATGATTTCTCCAAACCGGCCAAACAACATTTCCATTTCTTTCTGCAAAATGATTGTAACGATAGTATCAACAAATAAATTACAGTTATTAAAGCAATAAGATACAACCTTAAGATCATCATCCTTAAAAATTGCAGGATCGATATTAGTTACAATTAACGATGTAGGCAAATCTTCATCATTTAGATCGTCTAACGATGAATGTTCAGAGGTCACGGCTTTGTATAAATCATTTTTTTCATCAAGTAAACTGGGTAATCCATCGACTTCGTTTACGATGATCTCGCGGTCCTCGAGTTCTTTTTGTTCGTCCACCATCATAGAATGCGCACTACAAGAAGGATTGTTCAATAAAATTTTTTGTAAAAGAAAACACAAGCACAACTACCAAAATAATATTATAGTATTATCGTAAGTAGCATCAAATTGAGGAGATACTCACCGTCTACTTACAGTCAGCAAGAAGTTGTCGTTGAAATGTACGGTTACTGTTTTTAAACGTTCGTCATATTGCGTTGAACTGGAACTTGGAAGTCACTATAGTAATGTTTATTCAGTTTTCAACTACACTGTACGCATACGATTTGCAACAACACTGTTGTTATGTGAAATACTGAAATGTCACTTATCAGCGTCCTGTAATCCAAACGTGTCGTGGCGACTAATGATGGCCGATGGGACGTCCACCAGACACGTCCAGGGTCCAGCCAAGGTTTGGGGAGAGATAAGTAATAAGAAAATAAGTTATAATTAAAGAAGATGACAATACTGAATGCTAGCCTGCTGATTACTGATTAGTGATAAGTGCTGAACTTTTTATGTATACCACGAAACACTTAAATAGGGACGGGAGGGGACTCAACCGCAGTAACAGACCTTAACTCATCACTGTCCACTGATAACTCCAGCGCCAGGCCAGCTGCTGCAGGCTGCTAATAATTCATCTATAATAGTTGTTGTTACCGTTGGGCCACGATCACGATTAAAGATAATATTATATTATCATCTATACGGATCATATTCTTATTATCAATATCCCTAAAATGTTCATAATATACATAGTAAACATTGTTTAATTTTCTGGAATTTAGAACTATAGACGACAATATTAATGTACTTAACGTAATATTATAGTGTTTCCATTATCATTTTAATATCTCAACTTTATTTCACAATCGGGTAACAAATTATAATGTCCGAGTACAACAAAGTCCGGGTATCCAAGTTGGTATTGAAAAACGAAAAAGTCAAGTAAGTTAAAATCAAAATTCTTCAGATAATATTTGAAAACTTTTTCTGTGAGACTATATTTGTATTTAGTTATTTGAGGTGCTTCTGCTATATAATTTGAAGTATTCAAGTATGTAACTATAAACTGTAAACTGGGATATTATTATTGTGTCACGAAAAAGAATATAATTTTATATATTATGTGTATGATATGAATATAAAAATACCTAGGTAATCATAAAATAAAAATCCATATAATTGTTTTCAGGAAGAAGAAGAAAAAAAATAAATCCAAGAATAAAGATGAAAAAATAAATGTTGAAGAAATTCAAGAAAAAATTAACCACGGTACATTGAAGATTAATCAATTTGTACTATGTATGATATCATAAATAAACTTTTAATAAATATATAACTTTTTTTTTTTTACAGGAAACTGGGCAGAGGCTAAATTGGTTAGCGAAATTTCAGGACCAGTAGCTCTTGAATTTGGAACTCAAACCTATGTTACTGCAATGGACAATGGGCTGTTTACACTAGGTCCTCCTCATGACGAAGGTTAGTACTCATACAGTTGTTTCATTTGTGGGATGTTACTTCTATTTTCTTAGAACCCAAATTGGAATGAGACGTTAGTTCATTTTTAATTTATAAAGATCATCTAATCATAACTTGCTTTCATTTATTGCTCGATTTATTGTAAATTTATTATATATTTCTTAAATTTAAATGTTATAAAATGGAATATGAATCAAGTACCTAGTATATAAAAAAAGTATTAATAAATAAATATATTTTAGAAAGTAAATTATAATACTCAGTAAATATTAGGTAAATAATTTAAATAAAAATGTATTTATTTTATTCTTCTTATTAGTTTTAAACTTTTAATGTAAAAACCTATGTTTTTGTTTTTATTTTATAGGTGACGGTCCTTTACCTGAAGAAATCTTAACAGCTATAATTGTCAATGAAACAAGAATTGCTTTAAAGTCTGGATATGGGAAGTATTTAGGTGTCGACAAAGATGGAACTATAGTCGGAAGATCTGATGCCATTGGACCACTAGAACAATTTGAACCAATTTTTCAAGTAATACAATTTAAAATAACTTTCAATTATTATAATTTATTAGGTTTTAACATATTTATCATACTATTAAATTATGCATATTTAAACTAACAATATATTTTTCTAGTCTAATAATTTATTTGATAGATCCTCTAAGACTATGGTTTCTTCCTAACTATAGAAATATCAAACCACATATTTTAGTTTTCAAACTTTTTATTGTGTAATTATATTAAAAATAATATAAAAATATAAATCCATCTATAGGTATGTAAATTTAAATTAAATAAATATTGATGTAAGTTTTATTTTTATTGATATTTCAGGATAACAAATTGGCAATCCTATCTTCAACTGGATGTTTTATAAGTATACGAGATGAAGATGACTCTTTGGTTGCAAAAAATCGAACTGTTGGTCCAAATGAATTAGTTAAAGTTCGACTTCATGCTATTGAAAATACAGAAGAAGCGATCGATAAATTGGACGAAAAGAAAGGAAATATTAAGGATATAGAAAAAAATTATGTGTAAGTAAAAGCATTCTCAATATTTATTTATGCCCGTAGTATTTACATATATATCTACTACATATTTTAAACAATTATTATCATATAAACAGTTAAATTTATATTTAAAATTTAAAATTTACTCATTAATATTTTATCCTTCAATATCATGTTTAATTTTTTTTTGGATATCTCTAACCTTGTGGCTAATTGCTTGAAAAATTACTTACCTGAAAACAATCCAAATGTATTGTTTTATAATCAAAATTCTTTTTTTATTAGAAAAATGTTCCAAAAATTTCAAGATAAGAAGATGCGTATGATCGAAGGAAAAAGAAGTGAATTAAAAAAAGCTCAACAAGAAGGAAAATTACACGAATCATTATTAGACAGAAGAGCAAAAACAAAAGCGGACAGATATTGTAAATAGTACCTATACATTTTTTTTAATTATTTATTTAATTATATCAATAGGTATCAAATAAGTGTAATTTTTTTTAAATTAAATACATTATTTTACATTAAATACTCTTATAAACTTTTTAAAATTATTTGTCAAACTTTTTTTTATACTCTTTAAAAGTTCAAATTTAATGAAATATTGCAACTATATAATATCTTGAAAAGTTTTTTTCTAAAAAATTAATCCTATAAGCCTTCTAAAACACTATTTATAAAATCAAAGGAAACCTCAAAATATTGTTTAATTTGACTTATAATATGTGCTTTTTAGCTCCAAAACCACTTCTCGATAATTTTACAATATGTGGTCATGTGTTTTGCTATGTTCCATCAAATCCATCATGTCTACGTATAAGAGACTGACTTAATAAACCTAAGGTTGTGTGGCATCCTCGAACAGTTAAATGTAACTTCATTATTTATGTAGATGATTGGTATTATATTATGTACTAAATTGCAATTTTAATTATAACATTTAGTATAGGCGTATAGCTGTTGACTTCTTTGTGGGGTGTGGGGCCCATGGGCGCAATTTCAACTTTTGACTTGGGGGGGGCTAAATATATTAAAGGCAAGCAGAGCATTGCAATATAGCATTTTAAAATTGTATGTCCTAGGTTTTTGGAGGACTAGGGCTGAGTTTGGGGGGGTTAGCCCCTCCCCCAATTTTTGCCTATGGTGTGGGCTCTATATTTTAGTTGTATATTTAGTTATATGGTAAATGGTAATATATTAAAAGTATGATAAAATATACAACCATAGCCACATAGACCATGACTTTCCATTATATATTTATATGTAATCTAAGATTTAAGACTTAAATATTGCCCATGTCCACAAATAAACAGCTATGAATAAGATTATAATTTCTTAAATAAACACAGTGCGTAATGAAGCGTTTAGATGTATTATACGATCATAATGACAGTGTGCGTTATTAATATAAACTTAAATTGACACTGAATATATTAAAACCATTTAATGCGTATATATAAATGGTTAGAATATTAATTACAATTTACAATGTTACATTGTCAGATCGTACTGAAATCTCTGTAGCAGACTGCAATGTTGCAGAAGCGGATGCAGAATGTTTTAAAGTCTCGTACATTTTCGGAAATAATACGATAAAATTTGCATAAAAGTATTATAACAGTTTCAAAGGTCGTAAATATTTATGAGACGAACGGTCGGGATCAGAATGATAATGAAATCATCCGTGATTAATATTACATCGTATTTACAAACGATTATAATGTAATATCAAGACATCATATTATTACTATTTAGGTACCGACTTATATAATTATGATCATAATTCATATTCATATAGGTAAGTGTCCTATATAAATAAACTATGCAGCCCATAGCCATACAGGTAGGTAGGTACCTGTTACTTTTTAGTTCCTATAGCCTACATAATATAGATTTTGGATTTGTATTTAAACGTATAAGATTGACTCAATGACAGATTTAGATTTTGAACGAGCCCGATAAATCTACTGACTGAAATTAGACTTCGCTGTCAATAGGAATAGTTATTGATGGTAAGTCGAAGGTGTTCAAATATCTAAGAAAATCAAATTTACAGTTGTGGGAACGAGTAAAAAACACCTTCATAATTTTTAAACCATTATGTATACCTATTATGTTTTGAGTTTTCAAGTCGATACAAGTATACAACATTCATAAATATCCACTAATTTTAATACACGTATAGGCCTACTCATATAGATTAACTCAGTTTAAAGGCCTATGACAGTATAACATAAATATTTACATGGCTACACGAGAGAAAATTAAAAATAATAATTTTACATAGTAACTAGCGGAACAAAAAGTAGTGATTGAAGGGGGAAAGCTGTGGAAAGCAGTGGATTAAGCCTGATTAAGGAGATCCAAAGGAAATTAATTATTATTATTTAATGAGAAACGTCCAATGTCATTTGACACTAAACAGTAATCACCGCAGGGCTAATACCATAACGGCAAATTAGAAAGGTATTATAATTTATTAGAATGATAAATGATTATTAATTTAAACGGCGCAATCGAGTTGGATCCCAAGTACCTACTAGGTAGCAGCTAATCGCTGTCACTTCTTAAGTTGGATCCCGTACTCGATAACGTCTAACCTGGGGCCCTCACCAAAATCTAAACACTAAATAATCGTCTACCTTACTTCGACACTATACTCAAATCAAAAATGTCAATTCACCACAAATCAGTTTATACAAATCACTTTTAAGGCCAATCTGGGCTTATGGCATGCAAATCTGGGGCTGCGCCAAACCTTCCCAAATCCGATCAACTCAAGTCTTCCAATCAATCTCTCTCCGACTTATAGCCTCAGCTCCATGGTATATAACAAATAAAGCACTTCATAAAGATCTAAAAATTGATACAGTTGACCAACTAGCCAAAAATTACTATACCAAATTTCATGCAAAACTACGACACCATCCAAATCCACTCATCTCACACCTATCGTCACACACACTACCCGACAATCCTCCACGCCGTGTAAAAAGACGATGGTGTAGAGACCCCCTTAATTAATTAAAATCAAGATCTGTAGGGTTCTATCAATGGATAGTTCCCCTCCTCATGTAAACAATGTCATTTTTTTTTTAAGTTTCTTTGCCATTAAAAATATAAACTATTAGAATCTTACAAATTATGACATAATACAAATATAGGTACAATTTTTTATTTGGTTGCCATTGGTTAATATAGGGCAGATCAGGTACAATCATAATGCATTAAAGGATCAAATCAAATTTTCGCACATTGCCCACCTACTTAATATGCTGTCGCAAATTGTTCTATCGGGGAGGCTGAGTTATACCCATAAGGAGTTGAACAATCGCAATATTTTTTACGGACAACGAAGTGATCGGGATCAGCTAGTATTACCTATAAATATGTATTTTTATTTCTATTTTATTTTTATTTTTAAGTTTTAACAGTGTGTTCTTGTTATTACACCTATATAATATTATTAATATTATAATTTGTAAAATTCCAATAATTTATATTATTAATGACAAAGAAACTGAAAAAACATTTTTAACAATACTTTTGTTTAGTTCAATAGATCCTAAGTCTGTTAAAATGGGAAGGAAAATGTAAGAATAGTGTAGTACTCACTCAAAAGTATATTAGGGTCCAACTATAGTGTCGTTAAATATCTAACCTAAATAATCCCGTACCCAACTCTCATGCAGTCAATTTAAATGGTGCAACGTATGATCTTAATATTTTTTTTAATCGGTCTCTAAGGTTGCATGCAGTATAGTCAGTAGAGGTATTAGGTACCAGGAATATATAGTACCTAACCTATAACCTATCCATGTGCTTATATATATCGTACATTTAGATTAAAAAGTGTAAAAAATAATCCACGTATTACACGAGCAACAAGTTTCCCACTTACATATATTATACCTAATCCAGTGAATTATGCACAAATGGAAAAAAATATTTGTATTGAACATATAGTTGCCCGTTGACTATTGAATAGTACAAGTACCACACTCATTATTATTCAATTACCGTTATCACACCATCGATCACTAAATCAGTAAATCACTTACCTGTATAGATAAGCGGTGATGAATTTGTTTAATTTATATACCTACATAACATATGGACATATGGACATTAGACATAGGTATATTTTATATATTTACTAATCTTATTGTTCCAAATTAATTAGATTTAAATTTAAATATATTACGGCTATATTTGACCTTTTCCGTGATTATTTGGTCAGGTAGGTACATATTATTATACGATGTATAATATATTCATATACCTATACCTACCTAAGCTGTTTATTGTTTGGATAAATAATTTTTTTTTTTTTTTTTATTAAAGATAAGGCTTCGACTACTAGGTCATTAGCCTACAATAGTTTTTACACTGATAATGTACAATCTAGTTATAATTAAGGATTCTAATATTATAGGTTAGTAGTTTTACAAATTTTTCTATTTACAATATATTTGTTAGTTAAGTAATTTCAACAGTATTAAATTTTTAGTGTCCTAAACCAATGTGTTTGAAGAAACTGTGGATCAGGTGAGTGTGGTGTTCACCCAGTGCCTCCTCCATCGATGACGGTTGGTTGAGAATGGTCCTTGCGTTGAAATACAGCGGACAATCGAGGACAATGTGTTTAATCGAGAGTGGTTCATTGCATCGGCTACATAGAGGTTGTTCTTCGTTTTTAATGATGTGTATGTGGGTGAGGTTGGTATGGCCAATTCTTGTTCTTGTGTTTATTATTTCAGACCGTCTAGAAATATTGGGCTGTGTTTGCCATTTGGTAATTTTCTTTTTGATACATTTTAATTTATTTGAGATTGGGATTTCGTCCCAGGATATTTGCCATGTATTGGTAGTGTGTAAGTTTATTATTCTTTTGATATCTTGGTATGGGAGAGTGGAAATGAGTGTGGACGAGGTCGAGGTGATAGCTTCGTTTGCAAGTTTATCTGCTTTTTCGTTTCCTGGGATCCCTATGTGAGAGGGAACCCATATGAACTCAATTACTTTTTTGGTCGAGGACATGATGTTATTAATTTGGTATATTATTTCATTAGAGGGGTTTGGTGCTTCAATGGCTAGGAGGGCGCTTAGAGAGTCGCTGATTATTAAAATATTATTTGTGAACGTTGTTATTGCGAATAGTAATGCTTCTTTGATCGCCTGGGTTTCCGCTGTGAAGATGCTGGCTTCCGGGAGGAGTTTGAAGAGTTTTGAAGTATGGTTAGTACAGTAAGCGAATCCTACTCCGTCACTAGTTTTGGAAGCATCAGTGTAAATATAATTAAAATCCTGGTATTCAGAGTATAAGATGTTGTTAAAGGTTCTTGAGATTATTGTATGCAAAGTGTTGTTTTTTTTGAAATGAAGGAGCTGCGTGTTAATTTTAGGGGTCCATTGCCAGAAGGGGGATGTTGT